ACTGGCAGAAATCTTAATCTTCTCACACGCATCTCATAACGTGAATCTGCATTGCGCCTCGGGCTGAGAAGACCCCATCATGGCAGACACGAACGGGGAGCCGGAAAAGGCTCGTCGGCCGTCTCTTCAGGTCATTGTTCTGGTACGTCCATCTCATCTTTGTCGCCTTTTTTCGTCTTCTGTTGCTGTTGTTTATGGTCTTCATTCGTCATCATCCGTCGTCCTTCGCATCCCGAAACTGCTGCCCGTCACGTTGTCTGCCTCCTGTTCGGCCCAGCGGCGCAATTAGTTTCTTCGCTGGCTACACTCGACCGCCATTTCTCGTTGATGGGAGTCGATATTAGTCGCAATGGACAGCCGCGCAGTCAACCCGACCCAACCGGGCGGCGCATTCTCTGCCGTTCATGCAGTCGTCTTTATCGGGACCCCAATCGTACCGAATAGGCAACTCATTCTGCAGCCGCGAGCCAACCTGAATCTGCAAGTGCACATCGGGTACCACGCATATCAGCAAACCTCAAGAAATACCTCAAAGATACTATGAATCTTGAGATCGATATAATGAGGCGCTGACCAATAGACTGCGACCTGTCGCACTTCACGAAATCCCCTCGTTGATATGCATCTGAGTCGTCGCACCCCACTAACCCGCTGCAGGGCGCCGGCGGCGGTCCCCAAGAAAACAATACGACCTCCCTCTTGGTTCGTTCAGTCGCTTCCGGGTGGACCAAAGGCTCTCTCATCTCTGTCGATGCCGGTGTTGGTCTCTCCGCCATCACCCGCATACTTGAGGAAACGACACCTCCGGGTCTTGGTGGGCAGGTTCCCCTTCCGTATATCCTGAAAGAAGGCCCATTTGCCGGGCTGGAGCTGACCGCGGGGATGCTCCCCCCGGATGCGCCGGTCCTATATCCGTCAATTATCGCGTCGTATATAACCAAATCTCTCATCGACACCTATCTCATCACACATCCTCATCTGGACCACTTCGCCGGACTTGTCATCAATACTGCTGGACTTACCCGCCCAAAACGCGTGGCTGCCCTGCCCTATGCCGTTGACGCCCTCAAGAGTCATATTTTCAATAATATAATCTGGCCTAACCTGTCAGACGAGAACAACGGCGCAGGTCTCGTAAATTTCACTAGGCTTGTCGAAGGCGGCTCACCGGCGATTGGCGAAGGCGAAGCCAAAGGCTACCTCGAGGTCGCCGACCGCATTGCGGTAAAGGCTCACGCCATCTCACACGGCCACTGTGTCGAACGCCACCCTCACCGCGGCTCGACGTCCTCGACTGCGACGCCACTACGTTACGGTTCTGTTGACGCCGCCTCCGTTGCATCGCCACGCATCCTTCCCTACAACATCGCCAGTACAGCGCGCAACCACTCCATTGCGCCGGAACCTCAAGCAAGCATCTGCGTCGTCGATTCTTCAGCCTACTTCATCCTTGATCTCGCCACGAACCATCAGATCCTCATTTTCGGTGACGTTGAACCAGATTCGCTCTCGTTGTCCCCCCGAAATCATTTTGTATGGCAGGAAGCCGCCCCCAGAATCGTATCAGGTCAACTCGGCGCGATCTTCATCGAATGCTCCTACGACGATTCGCAGTCTGTGGACCGTCTCTTCGGCCACCTGAAACCCAGCTTTCTGATCGAAGAACTGGGCAATCTAGCTCAGGAAGTTGAAAATGTTCGGGACGCACCTCATCCATCACGCAAACGCAAACGGGTGGCCGATGCAGACACCATTCCTCGCCGTAGGACAGGCGGGGCGTTCGGCCGTCTGGCTAGCGGCGACGAGTCCCCTATCAGCCCGAAATCGGTAGCAAGACGCGCTGTGTCCGCAGACATATCCCACGTGCCGCCACTTCCGCCCGCTGCAACATCTGTGGAGAGCCCCCATCTTACTACGCCCACCCAAGAGCTGTCGCTGAGAGAGGCGGAGCTCGGCGTCAGCGAGTCTGAAGACGGACATCAGCTGGGCCTTCCCCTGAAAGGCCTCAAAATCGTAATCATTCACGTCAAAGAGCGTTTCGACGGACGCAACACAAGAGATGTAATCCTGAATGAGCTGCGGGCCCACGAAGAGGTGGCCCAACTGGGCTGCGAGTTCATCGTCTCAAAGCAAGGGCAGAGTATCTACCTATAAAGCCAGCGTTTTATAATGACTTGGACCCGAAGGAGGGGAGTATGACTTGCATGAAAAACGGTCAGATACCAGGTTATGCCTTTCTGGAGTTCGGTCTTGGGGTTGACGGCATGGGTATATACCGTGTCCTTGTATTTCCATTTCTGCATTCTATATATCCGCCGGACGCCTTCACGGGCCGCCGCATGAGTTGCTGTGTCATTACTTTCTCTGGTTGCCCCGTCTATATGTTCTCTCACGTGTCGTCACTACATCTCAGATATTCTATTGTGCGTTCTTGATCTTCTGGTACCCCTCTTCGCCGCCAATGTTCTTGTCCCAGTCCGCGCGGGGAATCTCAAGGACCTCGGTGGTACGACCGTACGTGATGCCGCCAAGTCTGCTTACCGGGCGGAGAACCTATTAAACGTCAGCATCAGCATCCCTGTTAGTGATGAACGACTGCAACAACTCACCGTAGGATCAATGATGTTCCTCTGCTCGTTGATGGCATCCTCCCTGACCCAAAAGTTCTTTCCCTCGATGATACATACGACGCCGCTCTTCTTTCCCGGCGTGGCTCTTGAGTCGTACTCCTTAAACGAGTCCAGCACGCCCTCGATGCTGAAGATGGCCTCCTTGACGCGCGCAGCCTTGACGTGCTTGCAGTCGGACACGGGCGTCAGGCCGCTGACGTCCCACTCGCTCTTGCCGTAGGGCGCGTTGACGCTCGTGGCGTTGGCGGCCTCGAGGAAGCCCTCGGAGATGATGTTGATGACGCACTCCTTGCTCTCGAGCAGGCACTTGAGCGAGTCCTTGGGCTTGTCGACGGAGGCGGCGAAGCCGACGACGAAGAGGGGCGGGTCGTGGTTGACCATGTTGAAGTAGCTGAAGGGGGCGAGGTTGGTGACGGAGCCGTCGGCGGAGCGGGTGGAGAGGAAGGCGATGGGGCGCGGGACGACGCCCGAGATGAGCAGCTTGTAGTTGAAGCCCGCGGGGCGGCCCTCCTCGTGCGGGTCGATGGAGACGTGCGCGGCGGCGGACTGGCCGAGGGCGTTGGCGCCGGAGCCGTATTTCCAGTCCGGGTCGATTGTCTTTGTGAAGCGGACGTTGAGGGAGGGGTCGAAGGGGGGCCGTGTCGCCTCGACGGACTTGAAGTCTGGGTGGGGGTTGTGCGTGGCGGAGGAGCCGCCTTCGAATTTTGTGTTTTGCTGGGCCATTTTGGAGAATGCGCGGCGGCTGTTGCGGAGGACGAGGGAGGGCGATGGGCGGGAGAAGGGTATCGTGGAGAGACGGAGGAGGAGAGGGCGGACGTTTGGCATGGCTTTGTTTGCGCGGGAGGTTATGTGGGTTATATATCGCGGGTCACGAAACGGGGAGCGGGCGCGAGTCAATTCTGCGATTGCGGGATGCGTTGGAAGAACCCACTTTCTCTCGAGGACGTTTGGAAACACAAAGCGGAAAGGCAGTCACTTCTCAGTTGGTGTCCCTTACTGATGCTTACCCATTACCGATAGCTGCCGGCCTAGCTTCTCGGATGGTGGAGTCTACGCCGAGGGGGGCCAGATGTGGAGGGGCATGGAGGGGTTGAAGAGGTGGTGGCAGGGTTCGAGGAGGGGCCCTTGTCCATGATGCAATTGACTTGGCGGGCCGGATTTGGGGTTGGGTTAGGGTCCTTTCTGGTGCAAAATCTAGCTGTCTGGGGGATTTGAGATGCGTTCCGGCTTGCGAGAAGCTATTGTCGTTGACAAATTGGCCATTGGTAATTCGTTCCGTAAGCTGGGATTCGACCCGGGCTGAGGCTCGGGGGATGGAAATCGGAACTCGGAAGCCAAGTGACAGGTCGGGGGCCAGGACAGGAACCTCCACATGGAACTCAATGTGGAGATGCTTGGACGCCGGGTGGGGGATCATGGATGGCGGGATGTGATGGCGGGATGGCTCGATAAGATAAGGTTGCCTCGACCTGATAGATGCATTGCTTCGGGAGCGGCCTACGGCACTGCAATAGGCCCAGACAGGCGACTAAGAGATCGACGGGACATCTGAGGATCGGTATTTGTGAGGACGCCTCCGTCGCTGCTGTGTTTTGGTTGATGGCAAATTGACTTCACCACCACACCACAAAGAATTCTGAGCGCATGATTCTGAGTTCGAGATGCAGAACATGGCCAGTTATCAAGCGCGACGGGTGTCTCTTGTTCGCATGCCCGCGTTGTTGGGGTTGGGCTGCAGCGGCGAGATGAATGTCTCAACAGCGGCCGCGGGCGGGGAGGGGACCACATCTGGTGGTTAGCGAGAGTCGTGGGCTGTTTTCTTAAACAGCATCGAACCAGTTGAGATGGTGCGTTGAGAGACGGGCAGAGACAACAACGTTCCCCGAGTGGCCATGCATGGTTATCGAGGTTACACGGTTATCAACAGAGAGGAAACCGCCCGTGGGGGGGAGAGGCACGGAACCTGAGACGGCATTCTTTCGATTCCCCATTCGGCTCATACTCGGTACGCCCTCAGCTTCGCAAACACGTTCCACCCCCGCCATTCCCGTCGTGCCATCGACACGGTGCATGGCCTGATGGGGCCGTGGGCTCGGCCCGTTATTGGCCTTGTTTCTCCATGCAGGTGCTTTGCAAATGTGAATGGAATGCCGCCGAGTGGCCGCTTGCCAGGAACGGTCGGGTATCGATTTTCGAGGGAGGGATGGTGAGGTTGCAGCTATGCCGTCTCAACAGATCCAGACTCGAGTATAAGTATTCAGGTCTCGACACTTCGAGTTCTCAGTCGATTCCAACTCAAGAGAACTTCCACTTGAAAGCACAACAGTTGCAACCATCCACACTCCCAAGTTTCAACAGTGCATAATCATCATGAGCGCCATCCGATCATCCTCATCAGCTCTCCTCCTTCTCGGCGGTGTAGCAACACTCCCCGGGGCTGCCTCCGTCCGCAGTCACTTCCCACAACGCACATCGGCATCAGCTCCGCTTGACGCGGAGCTGGGCTACATGCAACAGCCCCTCGGCCCCGCAAGCAGCCGGCCCACGGCATCCGCGGCGCAAACCACCACCAAGCGCAGTGCCGCTCTGTCAACAACATCTCTGGGTTGGCAGGGTCAGGCGTTATGACTGCATCGCACAGCGGTGCAAGTCGTGACGATGGCAACGATCCCTTCGCGGCCCCGTGTGCATGATGAGTCGCAACCTCGTCTCACTTCTGCGCGGGAGATGGTTGCGATCGTGCTGAGTCGGAACCAGCAGTACACGTCGGGGGCGTCAAAGACTTGGTACACGATGCCGGCACATCGGGAAATGTGATGATGATTTGGCTTGGGAGACGGCGTCGACGGACATATTTGGAGGGGTAACGGGATATCCATGGTGCAGAATGTGATTTTGGGGCCGAATATGGCGGTGGTGTTTGGCGCAGGTATCACTTCAGGGTTGAAAAGGGCGTTAGATATCATGGTTCGAATATGACTTCAAAAAAGAATAAGCTTCTTTACCTCTATTTTCGGATCCCAACTTGGCTTGTTCAATTGCAATTGCATCTATTCTAGTGTTGGGTACATTCCTCATGTTGATGACTCAGCTCAACGCCTCCGATAAGCCCTTATCAGAGGCGTTGCAGGGATACCTCAGCAAGGATGGAATGAATTTTTTGCGTCAACAGCCACGCCGCCCATTGTCGATTCACTCGCCGATGTCGTACAGCAAGAGTCACTCGCCGTTGCCGCGATAGTCAGAACTCGGTTCCACTTCAACCCGTCGAGGTGCTCGTTTGGCTCTGGCGTTGGACGTGCAGTTCTTTGCCCTTCTCCAATGTCTTGATATCCACCAGCGGGTTTTTCTTCAAGACCCTCCCCTCCCTTTGAGCCTCGCGCTCCACACACTCTTTCTTTTCCCCTTCTCCATGCCTCTGGGACGTGGACGGACGAACGTTGGACCAACATTTCGTCGCCGCGCGCCTCCCTCCGCACCCCGTCCTTTTTTTGCGAAGCCTCTCGGACAGAAGCCACTCGACAAACCGCCTTCCGCTTCTCGACCGAACAGTCGCGACGAAGCCCGACGACCTACCCCTCGACCCACCCCTCCTCCAGCAGCCAAAGCAGCATCTGCGCAACATCGCGCCGTCAAGCCAAAAGCCAGCACAAACACTACGACGCCGAGAAGAAGGTCCGCGGACACAATAAAACCCGAGCAAGCTTCATCGGGCGGAAGTGGAAAACGCCTCTGGAACTTGGAGCCCCGACCTCGACGACCGTCCAAACCTGAAAACGTTGACGAATTTCTGTTGGGCAAGGCCGATTTCAAACGTGCTCCCAAAGAGCTCATTGCTTCGATCAACCGTTTGTGCTACAACACCAGCCCATTTCACCTATCAGAAAAGGCAAGGGTCGTCCACACAGGCAATCCAGACCAATTTGGTGGCAAGACCGCCTACCTGATCCCCAGCGACTGGAATAGAGCGACACCAGGCCGTTGGTTTCTACGCTTCTATCTGCTCACAGGGCCGCCGATACGAAAATCCCCTATTCCCTGGCAACCAAACGAGCGCGTTGAAAACATGACGAATCACGTCCAAATTACTACGACCCCGACGGCGGACACGGGCGGCAGCTTGCTGTTGCACTTTGACCATCGGAGGTATCTCTTTGGACATCTGTCAGAGGGTACGCAAAGAGCGTTGGGTCAGCGCAAGGTCGCCATGGCAAAGTTGGAAAACATGTTCATGTCTGGTCAAACGAAATGGGAATACACTGGTGGGATGATTGGCATGATGCTCACAGTCGCCGACGTCCTCGAGGGCAGTCGGAAGGAGATTGAGGCTCAGAACCAGGCCAGGAAGCAGTCCCAGAAGGCGTTGCTGGAGACGAAGGGCCCTGAGCGCATAGAGATTCATGGAGGCCGCAACCTTACCTACAGTCTCGCCACGGCAAGGTATTTCGTCTTCAGGAAGGGCATGCCCATCCATCCCGTTGAATGCCATGACGATCCAAGGATTGCCAATCCCGAAGCCACCAACCCTGACTGGGAGGATGATGCCATTCAGGTCTGGAAAGTCCCTGTTGTTGCCGGTGAGCCTCAGGCTAGGTCGCGTAAGAGGAGCCATGAGGTCATGGCTGCTGAGGATGAGCAAGTGGCGTCTGATCACACGACCCAGCCCACGCTGGCTCCACAAGAACACGAAAGGCTCAATCGCGAAGGTGTCGCTGCTGTGGTGGAAGACATGTTCAACTCGGACTGGAGCAAGGATACTCTTTGTGAGACGAAGCTGCACAATGTTTCCCTCCCCGCCACTATTTTCGTGAGAAAGAATGGGCAAATTGAGAGGTACAAGGGACCTCTGCCTGGCGATAAGGGGCCCGTCCCCGATATCGATGTTCTCGTGCGATTCCCCTGGCCCGCCACTAAAGTCGTACGTCTTCCAAGCCCGAAGCAACCATCCGATATGTCTGTTTGTTATATTGTCAAGAACAGAGGTCGTCGAGGAAAGTTCAATCCGCAACTCGCCAAGCAATATGGCATCAAGCCAGTTGAGTTCAAGCATCTAGCAGCTGGAAAGACTGTCAAAGGTGCAGATGGTGTCGATGTGACACCTGACATGGTGTTGGGTGAGCGAATCAAGCCATGCGGGTTTGCGTTGGTTGATATCCCAAGCTTGTCGGCAGTGGAATCTTTTCTTGCAAGGCCAGAATGGAAGAACTCTACCCTGATGGAAAATGTGCCCATCTTCTACTGGCTTCTCGGTCCGACTGTCATCGACGATACCCGCATTCAAAGCTTCATGAGGGAGAGGCCTGATGTGAACCACATCGTCCTGGCCCCACAGACAAGCCCAAACATGGTGACTATAGAGTCTTGCGCCATTTTGTTGGCAAAGCTACGACGAATCGACCCAGACCGCTTTCCTCTCCTCAACTTTGACAACAGCGTTCGAGACCTGTCTTTCATTGGCCCGAATGTACAAGCAGGCCGCGTCGGTATGAAGACGATGCTCTCGCCGAGCTTCAGCATGAAAGATGACGAAATTCTTCCGTTCCCGACGTTTGAAGAAGCCGGTGCAATTCCGGAAGAAGTCCTGGCACTCGCGGATGAGGCAAAGGCCGCGATCAAAGAGCCCAAGTTTATGGCGGAGGTTCAGCAAGTTGAGAAGGACATCCCCAACAGAGACGCCGAAATTATACCCCTCGGTACTGGGTCCGCTCTGCCATCCAAGTATCGCAATGTTTCTTCGACACTCATTCGTGTGCCGCAATATGGCAACTACATTCTTGACGCTGGCGAAAACACAATGGGTCAGCTGCGACGAGCTTTCCCTGCTGACGAACTAGTCCAGATTCTTCGGAATCTTCGTTGCATATTCATTAGCCACATGCACGCAGACCACCATCTTGGCACAGCGAGCCTACTGCGTGCATGGTGCGACGCCACCGAACATATCAGCCCTCAACCCAGGCTTGTTATCTACTGCCCCGTGAGTATGCATCTGTTTCTGCAGGAGTATGGTCGCATTGAAAATATCCAAACTGTAAACGGTCGTCGCATCGAGGCTCGCAATGTTGTTTGGCCCAAGGACGACGCCAAACTACCCGAGGACGACCCAACGAGGCTCGCCTCTGCCGTCCTCGTCCCCGTCAAACACTGCCAAAACTCCTACGCTCCCGTCTTCACCTTCCCCTCGGGCCTGAAGATCGCCTTCTCGGGCGACTGCCGGCCCAGCGATTCGCTCGTCAAGGCCGGCAAGGGCGCCACCCTCCTGATCCACGAGAGCACCTTCGACGACGACAAGAAGGGCGACGCCATCGCCAAGAAGCACTCCACCATGTCCGAGGCCCTCGACGTTGCGTACCGCATGGGCGCCCGCCGCGTGCTTCTCACGCACTTCTCGCAGCGCTACGCGAAGGTCCCCATCGCCGAGAAACGGGAGACCGCGGACGGCTCCGACCAGGCCGTCCTGCTTGCCTTTGACCAGATGCGCGTTAAGCTGGGCGAGTTCCGCCAGGCTCAGAAGTTTTTGCCTGCGATCAGACGTTACTTTGAGTTGACTGGTGCGGATTAGATAGATGGCTAGATATGAAAATGAAAATAGAAGGCATCTCCAACCACTACATGTACCTGTGTACTTGTTTTATTGACTGGTCAATGTAGTCAATTTAGCTGTTGATCATTATTATTGATTCAACGCGATTAGTCAATCGCGGGTGAAAAGATATATTTAGAACATTCAAAATATTCTAACGGCACACATCTCAACGTGCCACATTTGTAACCATCCAAGTATACAATAGTGCTTTCCTGAATGAAAACAAGGCATTCAGAAAGTACATGGAAAACATTCTAATGAGGCCCCCGAAGTAAGACAGCCACCCAAGTTCCAAACCGCTAAGCGGCAAAACAAGCATGAAGAAGTCCAGGGTGTAAAAGACGAAGCATATACGAAGAAAACGATATTGCCTCCGGACGTGTACCAGCCATCTCTTCATGCCTAAACCAAGACGAGTTAGGGTCGTGCAAGCGCAGGGATAGCTGATAAACAAAGGATAGATGAAGCCGAACTCGCTGATCCAGAGTTCATACAATGACGTCCAGCCCTCTTCAGGTCCCGCGCTAGAGAAGAATACCATGGAAAAAGCGTTAAGCGTTGCCGCTCAGACATTGAAAAACAAAAATCCCAAACAGGTCGGCAGCCAAAGCGTGTCACCGTAATTTTTCAGTCCATGGGAATCAAACTTTTGGGAGTCAATATCCGTGGCTAAATCATCTGGTTCAGCCTCGGTCGTCCACCAACCTGCTCGATTACGATTGGAGATTCGTTGCTTTCGAGATCTTGACTAGGACTTTGCGTTGGGATTGTTTCCGATGCTGTCCTTTGTCCGACCTCATCAAAACCGTTCAGTTCTATGTGTGGACCAGAGCTGGGGGCCTCTTTTTTCGTTAAATGAAACGCAAATATGCCGAGGATTGTGAAAGCTGGGCCAATCAGCAAGATGACTGGCAATATCTGGCCGAATGTCCACCTATTCTCCTCCAACTTCAGAGAACCATCTTTGTCATCTGGAGGGGAGTTTCGGACGTCAAAAACTTCGCGTTGCCCACAGGATCACCAAAAGCCAGTACACCTGATAGATTCTGTCAGAGCGACGAGATCGTTTACAAAGTTATTGACATTGCTTACCTCGAACATCGTAGAGCTGTACAAGTCAAAGCTGAGGCGGAGCATGAAGAATACTGACAAGACCGGTTTAAAGACCAAGTTGATTCTCAGTGACTCAAGTTAAGCGTGGGATGAGCGAGGTCGTGCGAGACTTTTCAAACTCTTCTCCGACCAATCTCCAATCGGTTGTCTGAGCCTTGTTCTGAGAGTGGCCGAGAAAGGACGAAAGAGCTTGATAGAGCGAGTGACGAAACCAAAAATGAGCAGAAACACTGAAAGCACCATTGCCTGCCAGTCCGGATCGTCCTCCTTTGGTGTCTCTCTTTGAGGAGTGTTGCCACTCTGATAAAAGTAGCACACAGCAGGCTTGGAAAGGTCGAAGAACAGTCCGGTGGGCAACATTCCAACGACAAGAAAGATAAGGAGCGAAAGCATCAAGCCGTATCGCACGTACTTTGCCCAGATATATCTGTTGAGACGCGTCCGAAGAACCGACAGTCCAGACAGGTGTGTTACTGCATAGAACCAGGCCAGGTATACCGCGAGTTGCCAGTGGTATGCGTTTAGTCCACATGGAAGGAGGATATAGCCAGTTAAAAGTATGCCGAGGCCGGTGATGACCTGAATATCACACATCGTAATGACAGACTATAATGCGACGACATTGTTAATTGATAGTAAATCAAGGCTAATCTTTCTAGCTTTGTAACGTCATGAAGGAAAACACGCCTCGTTGAATGCCGCTGGAAAGCGATCAGATCCATTGAGTGGAAGGTGGAAATCCTTGCGAAGGCGTTTGAGGAGGCGATCGTCAACGGGATTTGGCTGCCATCGCACCTTGCCCGTAAGCCTACTATCAGTCTCATGTGTTCGCAGCGGGCCTTCATCTGGATCGAATGCGAATATGTAGTCTGCAATCACCAAAAGCAATACAAAATATGCCGTTCCCAAGAATCCGCATACAACCTGAGACGGACTTAGCCACCAGTCCAGACCAGCCTAGAAGATACCATTGGGGAGATCTACTTACTCCGTAGCCTGATATGTCAGCATAGGGCTTAATCTTTATGTTATCCGTCTCTGCGCAATCAACGTAAGGACACCATTCCTGAGATCCCGCGTCCGACATATTTATATCGACGGCTTAGATTCTGGAGTCCATGTTCAGAGCTGAATGCTATTGTTGATAGATACGAGTTCGCATGAAACATGAATATGCCAAATGAAGTTCAACTCCTAGATAGTAAATAATTCTAGCAGAAATCCGTACCGCTGCTGCCTGCTCGACGTCACCATCAAGACACATTACACTGAAGCTGACGTCAGAGAATCCATGAGTAGTAACGAGGCACAGCAAACGATTGTGCCAACCCGCTCATTCAGACCTTACTCAATATAAAACTGCACTTTGATCCCCACCTATTTCAGTAGCTTTTGCCAAATCATGTTTTACAGAGTCTGGAAGGATTCTCGAGAGGTGGTGTTACGAAAGATTGATCGTGTGATATCTCGAGCATTTTGTTGAAGCAAGACACAAAGAGTCTGCATGGTCTATGAAGCCATCGTGAAGTACATGTATTCAGAAATACTAGACAACCTCTGTGCCCAAACGCTTGGAAGCAAATGTGAGTGTGAGGCCAGGAATGGATAAGTCTGCTTTGACAAAAAAACTGAACTTGAAGCAGAGAACCTCTGGCTCTGTATGATCTCCACCCTGGATCAGCAAGATCCTAACCGTTCCCCAAGGAGTTGCCATTGAGACCTCTTGTGAAATGTGAGGATGGCCTCCCAAAATACCACTAGGCGTCTGTATTTGCTTGACTTTTGAATTTGGACGGGGTATCTCGAATACAGCATTGCTCATCCATGGCTCTAGCGAAATCTGTTCATGCTGTCGAGGCGGCAATGCGGAGTTCTGTTGGGTTGGCCTACTTCGGGCCCAAATCCGGTTCGCAGACGAGCCGTGAGCTTGAATCATCAGCCGTTCCATGATGCTGCTAATAAATCTAGCGTTTTCGTCTGGAAGGATAAGTGAGGTTTTAATCGCTGCATCGTTCAATGCCATCAGCAGCGCTTTCTGCATTAGCATCAACGGCATAGTGAGGTCGTTTTGCACCGGTTCTCGAATTTTGATTTTGCTCTTCTCGAATTCGACGAGATTTATGGTTGCTAGGTCTTGCATCGGCACTTCTGGTCGGGATATGACAGGTGTCAATGACGGTGAAGTGAGGAGTATTCTCATCTCATCTTGCATTCTTTGAGTTGCCTCCGTAAGCTTGACAACCTTGTCGATCTCTTTGCGAACAACAATATCGTTGCGCCTAGGGAATCTTTAGCAGATAGGTTCTTGCTATAGCCTGCAACTGTGTGCCGACAATAGAGCGCTGTGATTACCTTCCAGTGACTGAAAGTGCAGAAGCCAGCGAAGTCCTAAGATGATGCAAACGATGACAAGCTTCCTTGGTTGTTGACTCTTCCATGGCCCAGCGGAAAGTCTTCGTCATCTGATTGAACCAACCGTCGCATGGAGATACTTGTGCTGCCAACAGGATCTTACTCAAATGATCGAACTCTTGGCTGAAAAGGGTAAGAATCGTCTTGATATGCGGCAATGAGTGTCCATCTTCGAGAACGAAAGCTGAGCTATGGTACTCTTGAAGAAATATTCTTGCCCCTGCGACAATTGATGATGACGTTGTGATTTCTGCGAGGAGCTGTGCTTTGGATGTAGGCGCAGCTTTGCAACGTTGGTAAAGCTCATAGAGTTGTTTGCCGCTTTTAAAGACAACATCGGCGAGAGATATCATTCCTGAGATGTTGGCAGCCAACGAGAGACGATCGCCGTCATTCATTATGTCGATTTGAGAGCTATTGTATGAGCTTGATACCAGCGGTGAGAATCGGATCCTTGAGGTTGCTTGTCTGTGGAACCATCCCCGCCAATTCGTTCAACGTTACGAAAAGAGGAGATAAGCATGCGTAACCAATCATGGAAGAGTCTGACAGATGTGGAAAGAATTCTAAGATTCCCAGCGTTTCTGTTATTTCCTGCCCCATACCACACCAATTTGGTTACTGCTTAATATTATGCCGCAAAATTTACCAACCGCTGGCAGCAATGCATCTCTTCTAGGCCTAACTGTAGAAGATGTTCATCATGCCTCATGCCGTTGTCTCATGCCAAATTTGCAAGTTTCGCTTTGATTTTTGAACAGCCATCACAGCGATGGTTTAGTATGCTGGTAGAGACCACAATGCAATACAGCATGCTTCTAGTAACATATGATGCTTGGCAATCATGATATATTTGACTATCGAGTTCTCAGACTTTCCTGTACAAAACTAGATTGAACTACAATGGACCGTCCGTTGATGTTCTCATCTGACCCCGAAGCGGCAGACATACTCTTCCCGACACCGTCTCCCGCCGTTATTCTGTTTGTGAGACCTATCTCGTCTCCCTCTTCGTCAAGCTTCACTCTACCATCTCCACCACTGCCAAAATTGAATCTCGAACCTCCATACGTGAAAAGTGCACCAGCTCCTTTTTGCGAGTTACCCCCTGTTCCCCCCTTTCCCGATCTCCATGGTGCACTGGCTGATGATGGGCCGGACTGGCCATTACTCCGTTGACTAGACGATATCTTGTGGCGGACGAGATGTCGCAAAGGTGCCAGGTGGGGAAGGCAAGCAGATACTATTGCAACTGACGGTTCGATTGCAGACCAGATGAACACGGGGCCCATCATCCAGGTAACGTCCGAGGACTTGGAGAACTTGTCGAGGTACCAGATTCGAACAACACTGGCGACGCAAACACTATTGACTATGTCAGCCATTGAATTTCCACGCAGAGAAAAGGGGCTAGTCGCACAAGCTACCCAGAAGCATGATGCTGCATACAGCCAGCTTCTTTCTCCCCGACATCTGCAATTTCAAAATTTGTGGTATCGGAAGGAGTAGAACTATGATGTCGTTGATCATGTTGATGATACCAAGGGCGAGGTAGAATGTGTTCAGGTCGATGCATGTCCCTTGCGCTCCAACGAATTGGTCCCAGTAAAAGTGCAAGGGTTTGCAAGCGTTGCCCATAGTTCCCCAAATGACGATCGGATAGGCAATGGAGAGGAAGTAGCCCGTAATCAACGACAATCTGAAGGAGGGCACTCTTGAGATGAAGACACGCTGGTAAAAAAGGAGGATGGAGATCTTAGTAGCGGCGCAGGCGGTGCCATAAACAAAAGTGTAGGCGTACAGAATCTGACCGCAAAAGACTGTTGTCAGAAATGAACGCGTTATCATCAGAAGCGCCAACTTACCTGGAAGACCTTCGTAAGACCAGGGAGCGTGAAGGACCAGATATGGTTGCCGGCGCCATATGTACCGCCGGCGATGCTAAGGCCGACCGTCGCGCCGACGAGGAGCTATCACCAAAAAGGTCAGTCCAGCATTCGGACCCGTCTCGTCTTGTAGGAACATACCAAAGACCCAACGATAGCCCAGTCATCGGCCTTCAAATCATGCCCTTGAAGAATCCTGGACAGAATTCTCAAAGCCACAGCCGCAGAAGCGAGGACTGCGAGAACAATGACTGCAGCATTGTTTTGCGCGATGCTGCTTTCAGCAATGTCGATACCGTCCGGCGGCGGTCCAAATACAGCAACAATGTCTGCATTGGGTTCCATCATCGAGGTAAAGAGATCGAGAACCCGGCACGAAGCAACGCCATGATGAATGGGGGCGGAAAGACATATTTTACGCCGCACATAATTCCTCGACCACGACAAGAAAGATTTTCGTCATGCAGAACCGAGCAGCTTCGGCGGGAAATGGCTGCGGCAGAGTCTCTACGCGGAAGGAACGCCGGTTGCGGGGAAAGAAATTCTGGACGCGAGTCTGAGCTGGAATTCGAAGATTGGGCTCGTGCTGGCTGTTGGTCGTCGTTATCCCAGACGTAGTCTCCACAACCTTGCAGATTGGTTGATGAAGACCCAGATATTCAGTGGTTGTGGGATACAACTTCCGTGCACAGTCACATTCGGATCGGCTCCTCTCTTAGCACGAGAAAAAGATGTCGTTGGCCGTTGGTTCACATCGTATGATACTCTTGTGGCCTGTTCCATAAAGTGGAACCGTATATGCATGTGTAGTTTCTCCGTACAGGGAACGAATGCACAGACGAGGGGATGCTGTTGGTTCTCCTCTGGAGGCGGCTCGAGCTGCCAGGGTCCCAGGCATTTCATGACGACGATTCTGCGGTTGGCCCTGGTATATGCAGCTCACTGTAGCCCTTGAAATGTGATGAGCATTCTTCACATGCATCCGGAAGAAATGGACGAACAAGTGAAGGGGGAGGTCCGATGCATTGTAGACTTGAGGTTCTTGAACACTTCGACCTACCCCTTGCGATTTTGGAATTCCCAGATCAGTGGCATGTGTCGAAAAACAAAATTACACCGCTCGATCTTCACACATGTAGCAATGAAGAAATCAGGGAGACACAACGATGCCTCCATCTCGATACGGTTATGTACGTTGTGCTTGAGCCTAGCCGCTGTCATGTAAGGAACTCTTTAGCATCTTGACGGGTTGCGGACGGGGAAGTAATTCCTAGCGGGCCGACTTGGCTTGCATGGATCGTTAAGCGGTGGTCAGGGTGTGACTCCGTTGACAAGGATCTCCAACTTCTCCGGTCAATATTCAAAAGCAGTAGGCGATCTGACGATGTGTTGCGAGCAGCCATTGGCAGTTTCAAAAGAGATTAGTAGCTCGACTCACCTGAAGGTGCAATGCAAAGAATAATGAAGATGTTCTGCATGCTCAACAGTATCCTGTCGGTCTTGCCCCGTTTGGAATGGCGGGGATGAAATTCGGTCCACTTGTTGGTACGGGGGTGCAGGCATCTTCAATCCGTACACCATGGCGGTCGTTGGTTCTTGGACGAACATACAATGAAGTGATTAGAATGTACGTCTGAGGCGCAGCACAAATGCGTCGGAGGAAGTCTGGCCGACCCTCTTACAACTCAAGACGGCGAAACAGGCCCTTCAACATTATGTGCTGTCATTAAATCAGTCTTGCCCCTCTCCCTACCCCTCGACCGTTTTCACTGATTTCTGCAAAGCGAATTATTTTTCGACAACCTATCATTACCATGGGCTCCCTATCAGGATGGACAGAGATTCCCGATCTTACGCCTCTTGAGCGTATCGGTCCGAAAGGCTATCTTCGCTATGTCTTCCCGTTCCAACTTCCTGATGACTACGATCTCGAGGAAGCAGCTTCGGTACTCCGCACAGGATATGAAGCCGCCCAGAGAAGAATTGCAGTTCTCGATTGCGAGGCTGTTCCAAACCCAGACGCCAAGCAAGCCGGTACTCTAAAGCTACAGAGATTGCGCTCAGGCGAAGTAGAAGGCATCGCCGTCAAGGACTTGAGAAAACCAGGGGCCTTCCCGATGACCTATTCGGAGCTCAAGTCCAAAGCATTCCCTGTGTCTGCTTTCGATGCGAACACCATCATGCGCCGCTCCGTCTGGCCCTCTGCAGGGGAACGTCTTCCTGTCTCTCTTCCCCAAGCCAACTTCATTCAAGGGGGCATGATTCTCTCCTGGTGTATCTTCCATATGTTTGGCGATGGTAACACCTTTCTCACCTGGACCAAAGTTTGGGCGGAGGAGTGCCGGCGTGCCCAAGGCCTCGACATCACCGACCCCTTCAAGCTTGACGAGGCTCTAATCAGAGACCGTCAACGCATCATGAAGCCCTCTGGAAAGAACAAGGGCAAACCCGAGGACCACCCGGAATATACCATCCTCCCGTTTACACCCCAGGGCATGCCACCTAACATGCTCTCCGAGGCCCACCGAGGGCAGGTTTTCTACTTCTCCCCTGAGTCTCTGGCCAGACTCAAGGCTGAAGCATCCCCTCAGAATGCGACAGAACCAACAAACCAGAAATGGATTTCCACCAATGATGCTCTTTCTGCCCTTCTTTGGCGCACGGTCATGGCTGTACAGTCTCCTCTTGAGACTCTCGAAGGCGACCCAGTATCCGTCTACAACATTGCCATAGATGGCCGCCCGCGCACCGATCCACCGGTCCATCCTCACACTATGGGGTGCTTCCTGGGCTATGTTGCGGCGTCCGCTCCGATTCGGAAGATGCTCGGCTCAGCAAGCCTGGCTGACCTGGCAATTTTGGTCCGCCAAGCACTACTCCGAGCAGGTAACCAGTTCGTTGACGATGTTGCGACGTTAATCGACACCGTGGAAGACGTCAACCGGGTTCTTCCTACTGCTTTGCTCGATGTTCCGGGTAATAACTGTATTCAGAGCTCCTGGGTCAATTTCTCATTGTACGATGTTCAGTGGGGCCCATCTCTTGGTAACAGCATTCAAGCTGTTCGTTCTCCACATGTTGGAGTCATCAACGGGTTGCAGGTTGTTCTGCCGATCTTGCCGGATGGTGGAATGGAGATTCTCGTTGGTGTTGAGGCCAACTGTTTGGATAGGTTGATGCATGAGCCTCTGTGGATGAAGTTCGCTGAGCCACGGTGAGCTCCATTGCTGCTTGCATTTCATTCATCGGGCGTTTCTTGGAATAATACAGTTTTGGTATTTTATCGTACTGGTTGCAAATTCTTCCTCAAACATCTTGGTGATTCAAAGCAGCGCGACTCTGGAGGAAAGGAGTGATGCCCCAGTTTTTGCGTCATTATAGGTTAATCAAGAGGAGCTTAAGCAAGGCCTTTTCTCTGTCAATCAAGCCTGCTGAAGGCTTGAAGCCTAATATGGTTTGCGCATTCTCTGAATCGTTTGAATATTTCTTGGCATTTCCTGTCTGGAGCTCCCATGGCTCGCGTTTCAGCTTCTTCTGAATAATGGAAAAACTAGAACACGCTACAAAAACAACTTGATTTCCCCAGCTTGACAAAGAACACACTTAGCAAACCCGCTTATTCGTTGCTGGCTATTCGTTTGGGCTTGGCGCTAATGCTGAATCCGGACTTTGATGCCCAATGAATCAAAGAAAACATTAATTACCTGAGGAATTGTTAGTCATAGCTGGAATTGAGCTGTGGTGCAGATCACCGTATAGTTCAACAAGTGCCTCGCAATGGGAGTGACACAGCCACACAAGTAACTGCCGTTAGTTATGGCCACCTACCACTCGAACGTCGAACCGAGAAGACCGGTTGTAACAAGGCAAGCCATCAGAGGGACAGTTTTAACGTTAGACTCCCCGTACGAAGGAAACCTTCCTATTGCGGCGAGTTTTGTCGATGATCAACTTCTCAGGGCGCTTTCCTGGGCACCAATGATGTTGGCTTCGAATAACTTAGCATCCAGACTTCTGAGTGCTTTTCACTTCGCGCAAACGTGGCTTTTTGGACGCTCAGCTGGAACAAAAGTCGGCCCTACGAGGTGGCCAATTCTGACCCATCGACTCTCGTCGCGATCATAGTCTCATTGATAAGTACGAGTACCGCAGCCATTGACATAGCGGAATGTTGTCCATTTAGCCTAGTCAGCAACGCGGCTCCCCCTCTTTCACTCATTTCCACTTCCAAGATGCCTTCTTTTTCAGTTTCAACTCTTGTGTATCTTCTTTCGGCGTCTGGTCACGCCGCGTACATTGCAAAACGCGAGGTCAATGTCGGAGCAAATCTTCCAAATGGATGGACTTACAAAGGCTGCTACACCGATGGACCTAGCCGTCAACTGGCTCGAGCCAACTACGCGGATCCTTCCATGACAGAAGAATCTTGCGTCAATTTCTGTCAAGACCATGGTTTTCCTGTGGCTGGTGTTGAGTATTCTTCAGAAGCATGTGTTTTCTCAATCATTTTACTCTGCTAATGTCATATTTACTTTATGACTGTCGGCACCTTGTTCTCTTCTCGCTGACTTCGTAATCCAGTGTTGGTGCGACTACAAGATCCCCGCCGAACGGAAGCCTGAGACGGACTGCAACATGGTCTGCAGCGGCGATTCGACAGAGTACTGCGGCGCAGGCAATAGGTTGACCGTCTTTTCCAATGGAGGTACTAGCCCTGCTGTCAATCCTGGCCCTTCAGGCTGGACATTTCTCGGTTGCTACACGGATGGTGGCACCCGAACGCTCTCATATCGAGCAAGTATATCAGGAGGCGGCTCTGCCATGTCCGTTCTGCAATGTACCACTGCATGCACGGCTGCTGGCTTCGCGTTTGCTGGAGTTGAGTACGGTACAGAGTGTTGGTGCGATGATGCCATTCGAGGGGGGGCCTCAAGTGCTCCAGAAGACGACTGCAACATGCTATGTGGAGGTAACAACTCGGAACTCTGCGGCGGACCCAACCGTATCATTCTCTACAAGGGGGCAGTTGCTCCAAAGACACCCAGCGTTTTGCCCACAGGGTGGAAATTCCAAGGCTGCTTGAAAGATAACATTGGCGGCCGAAGCCTCGGTGTTTATGTCGGTGTGGAAGGTGGTTACACGAATGTTGCCAATTGCATTGCGGCATGCGCTGCAGCTGGCTACACCTTGGCTGGTGTTGAGTACGCGCAAGAATGCTGGTGTGATAACTCCATCAAATTTGGTGGCATCCCTACCACTGACGGCTGCAACATGCCCTGCAAAGGAAACACGGCGGAGATGTGCGGTGGCCCCGATCGACTCAATCTCTACTCGCTTGCTTCACTGGACCTGGACTTCTCAACAACGTCGTCTTCAGCCATTGTCATTCCGTCTTCCAGTTCGACAACTACTTTGCCAACATCTTCCGCCTCAATGACGTCTGCCATTGCGCTCTCCTCCTCCATTTCATCTATTGGCACCACTCTGGTGACTCCATCAACCACACTTATTTCCGTTGCTTCTACGACGACAACCATACCCACATTTTCAACCACTTTGAGCGTTTCCACGCCTAGCTCAACAGCTATCCCTCAAGTTTTTCTTTCAACATCATCCACTGTAAGAACTCAACATCTCAAACAATATTAACGCCAAACGCTGAATCAAACAGGCTCCTGCCCGCGCAGCAACGAGTGCTTGCACCAGGACATCTCGTAAGTCACTTCAATCACTCTCTAATTATTTGAACATTCAACTGACTTACTCTTAGCTGACAGTATGTCTCCCCTGGAAGAACTGGGTTAATCTCATCTTTCGCAAGTTGAAGGTACTGACACACAACTCAGGTGCTTACGTCAAGAACGCTGGTTTCGAGAGTGGCCTTGCCAGCTGGGCTTTTAAGGTTACATCCGGAGACGTTACGGCAGAAGTCATCACTAACAACCATCCAATGGGCGGATGTTCAACTCTGTAAGAACCCCACGTTGGGATTGCCCATCCTGAGCACAGCTAATTCTAGCCGCGTTTTAGCATGTTGACACCCCGTTCCTCTCCATCTGACGGCGTGCGCCGGGTTGTCCTCCGCCAGACACTTGCCGGTGTCAATATCACTGAACCAAGAGCATTTGCCGGCTTCTTTGGTAGACTAACTAAAGCGACGATTGATGATGGCGGTCCTCAAATTACCGTCAGCTACGGCAGAGTGCGCATTCACCAGTGGGATGCTTGTGGATCTTCTCAGAACAAATGCAACCTCAACGCTCCTGGTACATTGGGCTATTACAGAATCGTTACCAAGCTATCGCTTAGTCTCGCCGCGGCGAAGAACACAGATATCGTGGTGGAAGTTGTTTGGAGTGATACTAATGGAAAGAATAACCCAGTCCTCTTGGACGACATCATCCTCCTATGAGGAACGTTGACCTATTCTTTGTTGATAAAGATACCTAGATAATTATGATGAAAGACCTGCTTTGAAAAGTTCAATCTGATATGGTTTGTAGACGTGTCGCATGCGACGTTGCGCTGTAGGCTACCTGATACATAAGTGTTTGCACACCCTACCAATTTGCGGAATTCATGTTGACACATTCCACAAGACATTCGGACACTAAAAGGTCGGTTAACATGCACCGTGAACGTCAGAAAGTCACAGTGTTGGGATGAAGGTCCTCGGAAGAATTTACAGATAAGGCACAACACTGATGCTACATAACTTTCAAGTCTAGGTATGCTTATGCTACCACTCAAACGCTTGGTGCCCATTTACAACTCAATCCATAATCCGAGCAGACATGTACAATGGAATGTTCGTAACACTTAATGTCCATCAGCGTTTAATCCCAGCACCTTCTCGTCTCTTCCAACAACAGGCTCGGAGTTCTTGGCTCTCCGGGGAGCCAGGCTAAGTTTTCCAAGAGAAGCATATCTCACAGCACCCCCTGCAGCTGGAATATTGTTTGCCAAGCTCCTCTTGTTGGCAAATGCCAGGGTAGCAAACTTGATGGCTTCCTTGTATGCAGCAGGAATCCCAAACTCGTCGCTAGTCACGAGCTTCAACCCGTGCTTCTCTACCTCTTCTCCGAGGTTCTTCATCAGCGTCGCGTTCCGAGTACCGCCCCCAGATGCCACAACTCTTGTAACCTCCGTTTTCGGAAGGATGAAGTCTGTCAGGCTCTTCGTGATGGATATTGCCGTAAATCGTGTCAGCGTTGCGAGGAGATCTTCGGTGGATGCCGCGGAGTATCTCTCAAGAACGGCATCTGCATATGCCGCGCCAAAGTCAAGACGCCATGCGGACCTTGGTGGTTTCCGCGTGTAGAAGTCGTGCTGCAGGAGCTCTTCATGAAGTTTGGGGATGACCTTTCCTTGCGCTGCAAGCTCGCCATCTTTGTCGTAGCCTCTCCCAGTGCGAGCTTTGGAGATGTGGTCGATCATGACATTTCCCGGACCTGTGTCGAATGCCATCATCTTGCTCCGGTCCGCATTAGCAAGTTGCAAGTTTGCAATTCCGCCAATGTTAAGAGTGACCGTCGGTCCATCATTCCGAAAAGCGACAAAGTCGAGGTACTGCATGAGTGGTGCGGCAGAACCACCAAGGGCGTGGTCGAGAGGTCGAAACTGGGTGACCGTATCGACATCGGTTAGAGCGGCGACGACACCGGATTCGGCAATAAAGAAGCCGCAAGGAAATCCTCCTTTTAGCCAGCGGTCCACAAGACTCTTGTTTCCACTTAGAACATACTCCCTCTCTTTGACACGGTCTGGCGGCTCTTGGTAGATGGTCTGGCCGTCGTAGCCGATGACATCGATGTCTTCGGGCTTCAGATTGTTTCTCTGAATGAGGTCGTTGGCTGCCTCGGCATACAGCGCACCGGCGGCGTAGTTTAACCGCGTCATTTCGAAGATGGTCAAATCATTGTTGAAGGCTCGCAGTATCAACGGTTGAAGTTCGAGAGGCCAGTCTACCGTTAGACCGTCGATGTATTGGGGTCGAGAAGGGTGGCCGTCCTCCGCGATTCCGATTTGGCAAAGAACGGCATCAACACCGTCGAACGACGAGCCACTGTTCAAGCCTACGATGTAGGTCATTTTGAAGGCGCTGTGAAGAGAACGACGTGATGTGGCTTGGGGGAGAGGTGAGACCGGGTGCCTGTCTGGGCCGCCCTCCCGACTTATACCAAGACAAATGCTAGCATCGGGCCGTGGTTTGGGAGATCTGGAAACAGGATCATTCCCCGTCCAGTTTCCAGATTACCGAGCAATTATGTGGGGGTTGACAGCTTCCAGATCTGATCACATTGCCACATTAGGAATCGGAGCATGGACTAGTTCGCTAGCCCATCGGGGGATCCCCCGAAGAGAGGGGAAGTCACACAAAGCCAAGTGGAGACAACTCGCAGCTGATGTTGCACGCTGCGGACGTGAGCTGACCTATCTTACGAGAACTGCAGGTTGCAGCCGATAGAGAGCCTGTTAAATCGCTGCAAGTCATACGATTCGGGAGAGTACATCCGCTCAGATGAACAATACAGAATATGCCAAGAATCGTGCTCCTCCAGATGCAAGCCTTGATAGTCTTCGCAACACAAAGAGCCGCTAACACAAGATGAACGCCAAACTCCGCCGCGATTGGAAACCTCGTTGATCCATTCGGGTGCGAGAAAACATACCGCCTAATTTCTCGTGTGTCTGCGCGACTATACTTTCTATGTACTTGATAGATCATGAGATTTTCCTTTAATTGGAATGATCGCAAATCGTCGTTACGAGAGCCAACGACGATACCGACGACAACAACGGCGGAAATGTTCAACGTAGAAGTAGTAATGATAGCGATGATGGATGGCAGTGGCGACGATAGCAAGAACGCAGAAAGAGTGGTCGCTCTATCACAGGAAGGATGGGGCGCCTCGAAAATAATCATCGAAGATTATGAGTTGTCTTTTTGCGATAATTCTAGCAAAACTATCCCACCTGGAGCATCTTTGACAGTAAAAGTTTGAGCTTTTCCGTGTCTTCGCCAAATTTTCTCATAGCCTCGGCTGACTTTTCAACAGCGCACTCGTCACTATTGAAAGCCCATCTGAATGCTGATTCATCATTAATGAAGGAAGATTTATGCAGGTTCATATGCCGTGCTAAAGAAAGTTAGCAGAAGACTTTGGACTCTGGTTGGTTACTATCAGCAAAAGCGCTTACCAGATTCTAGCGTCAATCTACGATCGACAGGCTCAGACTCTTGTTCCAAAGCCTCAAGAATTGCCGGCGAAGCTGTCAGCAGATCGATACCCGCTAGGTCTCGAATCTGCTTGGTGCTGCGGAAACTGGCAGCCATCACCTTGGTCTTGAAACCGTACTTCCTCAGATAGTTTTGTATCTTCGAGACAGTCTCAACACCCAAATCATTCGCAATACCGTGCAACTTTCCCCAGTCTGTTATTCGCCCGACGTACGGTGCGATGGCGTCAACGTCGGCCTCGGCTGCAGTGATAGCCTGGACCAGTCCAAAGACCACCGTAATCAAGCAGCTCACGCCATGCTCTCTCTGTAGCACACGCGCAGCTTGAATGCCTTCCCAGGTGGCACTGATCTTAATGCGGACTTGACTCTTTGGTACACCCTGTTCATGGTAGAGGTCGATGATGCGCAAAGCTGCGGCGATAGTGGCCGCAGTGTTGAAAGAGAGAGTGACGTCCACTTCGGTGCTGACTTTGCCAGTCAACTTAAAGATTCGCGTGCCAAACTGAACGGCAAGATGATCCACTGCCGCGGTCAAGCGCTCAGAGGACGAGATGGTCGAAGGCAGCGCATTCGCGTACGCGATGGTGTTCGATATAAGTGTAGCGTATGATGTATTTTGTGCTGCTGAGTAAAGGAGACTTGGGTTAGTTGTTCCCTCAGAGGCGTTGAACTGAGAGATTTCTAACTTCCAATTAGCAATTTCTGTTCTGCTTTCTGATAGGGAGCTTCAGGAGTGCGAAGTAGTCGACTTACTGTCAAAGTCGGCGGTATCAGCAATCAGAACTGTGCCGGCATCCTGCAGCTGCTGTAAAGGTCCAGTGCCCATGATGATGTTTTCTTGCTCGCTGCGAGTATATTTTAGATGCACTGGACAATAGTTGCGAGGCAATGGGTTGAAAAGCTTTAGCAGTGTACTTGCTGGCATAACGAACAATCATCACCTAAGCAAATGTGGAACATCAACCTGGCAATGCAGTAGGTAAGTCATGGTACATCTTCATCATTTCAAAATTAACAGCAATCAAAATATAACTGATAGCTGATGATAAAATGTCGGGGGATGGTCCGTCGGATCAGTCCCCCGTCGGAGCATCCCCCGGATGATGAGGCCAACCAGGACACTCCTGGCTTCAAGCACAGTATCGCGTCTCACCAAATCACTGACTAAGTAATAAACATTTGCTGCGACATTCTGTATAACCATCACTGTTTAAGCTTCAAGGCACGACTTACCAATATTAGCAGTTTCACTAGTCTACCGGAGCGTTCCCCGATTAAACAATCTGGGCCCCCCGTTTTCACAGTTCCTTTCCCTAAGCCTTACCCCAGACTCGGACAATGTGTACCCCAGTGATCCATTCCTTACGGGCGGGGCTAGTGGGCTTTAGTGGTCTCTAGTGTTACGGGCCCACCAGATGTCAACCTGCCATCTACAAACATTTATCGCCAAGATGCCATGACTTGATTGCGCCGTTCGCTCAAGAGTTTGACATCGTTCAGCGATCTCTGTTCCGGTCGTTTTCGAAGCGTTTTCGAAGCCCTCTCGAGATGGGCATGTTCAACATTGACTGGCGTCCTAACGCCTGGGCCCTGGCGTACTGCGGGGTCTCGACCTTCGGCGCTCTTTGTTATGGCTACGACCAGATTTACTACACTGGCCTCCTGGGTATGCGACCGTTCATCGACGATTATGGCACGGCGACCGATAGCAAAGGGCTCAAGGCCCTGACGACGTCCTTTATGTCGCTAACAGCTTCCATCATTTATGTCGGCGAACTCGTTGGCGCCCTGCTTGCCGCTCCGATCAACGATCGCTGGGGTCGAAAGGCGGTGTTCTACTTCGCCTCTTCCTGCATCATTGCAGGGGCAGTTGTCCAGCTTACCGCCCACGGTATCGAAGGCCTCATCATCCTCGGTCGCATTTTGATCGGTCTCGGTGTCGGTCAGTTCACGGTCACCTGCTTGCTGTACATCGGCGAGGTGGCTCCACTTGCGATCCGGGGGCCTGCACTCATGATGTTCCAATTCATGCAGTCCTGTTCCCAACTTGTCGGCTCAGGCATCACCCAGGGGACCGAGGCGATTCCCAACAAGAACGCATACCTGATCCCGATGGGTCTTTTGATTCTTCTCCCTGGGCTGATGATCATGGCATTGCCGTTCACGCCAGAGAGCCCGACATGGTACGCGACAAAAGGACGGCTACCTGAAGCCGAGATAGCTTTGAGAAAAATCAACAAGAGTCACCGCGACTATCAACCTGCTTACGATATTCAAGTTTTAGACGAGGCGGTCAAGAAAGAGGCTGCCTACGCTGCAGATTCTACCTGGATTTCTCTTCTGCGAGACCCAATCGAGCGCCGCAAGCTGATTTACTCCTGCGGCGCCATGATTGCACAGCAAATCAACGGCATCCAGTTTTTCTATTCCTATGGTGTGGTTTTCGCGCAATCAATTGGCATCAAGGAGGCCTTCACAATTTCGCTTATTACAAATATTCTACAGGTCATCTCAGTTGCTGTTTCAGTTGTCCTTGGTAACAAAATTTCCCGTCGCAAGAATCTCCTGATTTGCACAGCCGGCATCTTCGGTGCGCTTGTCGTTGTTGGAGGACTGGGTTCGCAGAGAGCTCCGTTCTCCAACGGCACCAGCGCTGCCATTGTGGTTTTCTCATACATCGTGATCGTCTGCTTCAATTTTTCGTTGGGCCCACTGGCTTTCACAATCGCCTCGGAGATGGCAGTGGGGCGCAACAGAAACAAGATCATGTCTTGCTCAATTGTCTGTTTCTTCCTGACTGTTTGGGTCATTGCTTTCGTTTCCCCTTACTTGTACTATGACGCGAACTTGGGGCCCATGCTAGGGTTTGTCTGGGCAGGGACGACCATTATCACGCTCACATATGTCTGGTTCTGTGTTGGGGAAACGACGGGCCGAAGCAACCTCGAACTCGAACGATTTTTCTTGGAGAAGGTTCCGGTTCGGCAATGGAAGAGGCACCGCTTCATGGACGTGGCTGGTGCCGAGGATCCCAAGTCCGTGGTCCATGTGACTGAGAGAGAAACCCTGAGGAGTGGAATGTCCTCTGCTGCTAAATAGCATCGGCCCAGGCCGATAATCCTACTACAAGATGCCATAAAATACATTTGTATTAAGCATTGAAAACATTTGGATCTTTCAGGATCTCACCGACATTTCCCAGCCACGAGGGCTTGTTTTTGACCTAGAATTCAGCTCTGGGTGACGTAGGCTAGTGACTTTTACACCTTGACAAATGTTAGCCGACGTTCCACCGATTGACTTCCCCTCCCCCTCCCAGTCGTTTCAATGTTTCTACTTTCACCTTTCTCCACCAAAGAAATTGAAATCCAATCAGTGGTTGCGTTGCCATGATGTTCCGCGAAGATGGCGCCTACGCCCAAGACAAATCTTGCCTGCGATACCTGCCGTCAAAGAAAATCGCGATGCGATGGCGTTCGTCCGATCTGCACCCATTGCAGAAATGCGGGACGTGAGTGCACCTACAGGCCAACCCCGACAAGCCTAGAAGCGTAAGTGATCTCAACTACCAGCCATTATTCAGGATTCGCAGGTGTACTTTGCCAAGGAAGAAATGAGGGGGGGTCGAGCCCAAACACTAAGACGATCACAGGGATAACTATGTTTTGTCCCGGTTAACACACGTAGAGGCACGCCTCAAGCAACTCGAAGAGAGATCAGATCACAGCCGTCGTGCAAGCGAAGGACTTGCGTCTACTTGTCATAGTACTCCGAGCGCGCATGCAACCTCATCTCAGCATTCCTCTCTCGTCAAGTTTCCAGAGCTTCACACTGCAGCCGCTTGCAAAATGCTTGTCTACTGGCCCAGGATCCGTATCAATTTTACCGTCCCTGGGATCTCAGCTGCAAATTATTTGTCCGAGACTGATCACTCAGACGCAACCCTGCTCAGCTCCCTCTCGTCAAGATCTTCAACCCCAACCTTGATGCTCTGGCAAGTGTCTCGAGTGCTCGAAGAGTTCTACGATAATACTTCGAGTAACCTACCAGTCTACATCTCGGAGTTGATTCAAAGTTGTCCTAAGCTTAGTAGTCAGTTTGTGGCTAACAACCTGCGAAACATGTTTGGAATGGACATGGACTCCTTGGATACTGTTCTTGTGGACATCAAACAGCTTCCGATCTCGATATTACTCGTTCTTTCCATCGCACTAAGATCGGCTGATAATAGTCCCCTCAACTTGGGACCAGAGCTACTCCTGGCGCTGTCCGAGGCCAGCTTCACAAATGCACTCCAAAGTCAATGGACTTTGCTCTCTGTTGTAGACGAAGAACGGATACCACTGTCTCTTCTTATGGCCTACTGCTTGATGTATTTCTGGGCGAGACCGTTTCATGCACTGGGATTGGTACAGTCACTAGACCCGGTAATACGCACTTTCTCTATGAGGAATGGAGACGAATCGTACGTTGTTACACAAGATCAATGACCTCATCTTACTCACGTCTCCACAGTCTCGGAAGGCTCTACTACAGACTGCACTACATCATTGAATGGTCAGTGGAAACTTTTGCAAGCCAGATTTCCTCGGAAGACTCATATGTTCTAGTGATATCCTTACCGAAGTTGATGGCATACCATCGGATAAAACATTCGAGGTGCTTACCAAAACCAACGATGAGTCCATGTCGGGCTTTCTGGAGAGCCATTTGTGGCTTAGAAGCCACCTCAATAAAGTACTCCAGTACCTTTACAGCACAAGCAAGGCATATGCCCAGCCTCACGAACTTGCCGATCTGGTTTGCAACTTGTCCGCGGACCTCCGGGGCTGGTTCCAATCTCAACCTTTGGGCGCCCAATTCGCACGCGACGCCACAGCATTTAGCATGAGCGTTCCCACCATGCCTTTACGAAAAGTGAGCGAGACTCTTTGTTAAGAAAAAGATCCACTGACATTCTGTGACTATAGAGAGAAATCGCACTACGATACTTCGCATGCGCCTTTCTGTTACATCGCCCCGTATTGTACTTCTTCCTCCACAAGGACATGGAGTACACGGTACGACCCCCCGACACACAAGCGCTTCGCTCCGACCAAGCACCCTGGATCCTCGAGTCGTGCCGCGACTGCATCGAGGGCGCCACGCTCTTTGTACACTTCTCATGCATCTCCATGGACTCTCAGAGCAGCAAGATGGAACGATCATATCGCAGCTGGTGTGACATCCAACTTCTGTTCGCGGCATATTTAGTTCTGGTCCAGGTCAAATCTGTTCCTGCCTTGGTGCCCATCTTTCGGGTATTGGGAGATATGGAAAATCTTCTCGACCAGGCTGAGCGTATGTTCGAACTGTTTCCCGTCGACTCGTTGAAGATCCGCAAGAGTTTGGAGGTCCTTCGCAGCCAACGCCAAAATCTGGACGCCGCTTCACCGGTGTATTCGCACGGTTCGGTGTGACGTTTGGATGTTGATGAAAATAACAACAGAGCTTCTACAGCTACATTTGAGAAGCAATACTAATTTAAGTGAAGTTAAACGTATAAACTTAATGACTAAGTAACGTAAATGTGAACTGTTGTGCCTACTATACAGACTCAGCCGTTGTCAATATTTTCCCAAATCGATAGCACTTCACATCATCAAAACACGCCGCAAGAACTGTTTTTGCCCCTCAACATTTTTCTCGAATGATATCCCACCTTTGTATAAGTCAAAGTGCCCCCCTTCGACTCTGAGCGCCTCTCCTAGCGGCGCTCGCTTTACACATTGTTCTGCTGCTTCCAAAGACGCTTCATGATCCCACGTCGGCAAGACAATCAGGTACGGTCGGGTGCTCTTGTGAACTTGCAGCAGCGGCCGGGATAGCACGATACTCAACAAAGATCTCCCAGCAATCATGTTCGGCCAAGATTCCCCGTTCTCAGGCTCCAACCTAGACCAGCCCTCAATGACCTCTTTGGAGGCCATGATAGCCGTCGAAGACCCGTCGCTCACCAGCTTGACATACTGTGGCTCTTGGAATCCCACCAATGAACCAACAATGTCTGCAGTAGCAGTGACTGCCAGTCTCAAAGACCGCAGTAGCGGCATTTGAAGGACACCCGCGGGGCCGTCCACCAGAGGACACTGAGAAATCCCGGCAACGAGGTCATGATCCTCACTCATGAGCGCTGTGACATGCATGCCACCAAAACTGCTGCCCCATGCAACGATGCGGGAAGAGTCGACCCATTCGCTTTGATCTGGATCCCGCACCCACTTGAGAACGTCTCGAAAATCTTGCAACTGGTGTTGGACGTTGAGAACGTTTCGTGGGGTGCCTTCGCTTTCCCCAAAGCCGATATAATCGAACGTCACCGCCACATATCCCTCTGAAGTGAAGGCGCTCGCGAAAGGAGACAAGCCCGCAGCTTTGATGGCTCCAATACCGTGGCCCATTACAATCGTTGGAACGGGTCGCTTGAGTCCATCTGGTTTATATATCGAGATGGCAATTTTCTCGTTTTTCCGGCTGGACCGAACGAACCCGTCTTCGATGGTATAACCCATTGTGACAGGGGTACTGACAAAAAAAGGGTGACCTGTTGGGGAGTGTTCACGAGATTTCCTTACAACGCAAGTTCAGTGCGTGCTTGGTATTCAGACTCGAAGTCGATGAAGAATGTTAGAATCACTAATCATTACTATGATTTGCGCTGATCTCGCTACGAGAGCCAATTCTACAATTCGAGATCTTCGCACAGACGAAATTCGAAGTTAAACCTCGGCCTGAAATGCGGAGTATCACATCGTCTGACGTCGCCCTGATGAAAGCTTAACAGGCGCAGTACGGCAGTTGCGGGGAAGACGTTGAACGGAGCCCGGACCCCACCTTCGGAGACGCTGTCCATCCGTCCATCCGGCCTGCATATACACGATAGCCCTTTGAGCTCGCTGTTCACGTAGTCGGGAGTGATAACAACTGGTTAATTGTTGATTGAGGTTGCTGGGTGCTTTCGCTTGTTCATCATGTCGACTCTACTCAATCTTGCACCCTCCGGCGTCACCGGACGAATTCCCGACCTGCTCCGCTTCTTGAAGATATCCAAAATCTCCAAATCGTTCTCTCGAAATGGCTGGGCAAGATATGCCTTGGCAATCCTACTCGGTTGGACAGCTGTGAAGAAGGCGAGCAGAGCGCTGGGCGATGCCGCCTTGAATAACTACAGCCACGACAAGTATGACTGGAGACGGGAGCTGGTGCTGGTTACCGGTGGTTCCGGTGACATGGGCGACATGCTCGTACGCAAATTGGCAAAGAACTGCGTCAAGGTCGTCAGTATTGACATAGTTCCTCCAAGAAAACCACTGCGTGAGTTCATCAACTTTCACGTCTTCTTATTCGTCCTTCTCTCACAGGGCGATTTATGCCTCATCTGACCGAATTTTCAGCGTCCAACGCATACTTCTACCAAGCGGATATCACCAAGGCAACGTCCATCAAGGAGGCCGCTGACCGGATCCGGCAAGATCACGGAGACCCCACTGTCCTGGTCAATAACGCCGGCGTCATGAAGATCTCCACTATTCTCGACGAGACGGAGGAGCAAATCCGCCAAACCTTTGACGTAAACATTATTTCCAACTTCCTCCTGATCAAAGAGTTCCTCCCTTCAATGATCAAACGCAACCACGGTCACGTCGTCACGATTGCGAGCATGGCCAGCTTCGTGACCGGCGTGCAGAACGTTGACTACTCCTGCACCAAGGTCGGCGCTCTGGCCCTCCACGAGGGGTTGGCACAGGAACTTCGGCATCGCTACCATGCACCCAAGGTCCGAACGAGGTGAGGCCAAGCCCGGAAACCCTAGCTAGATCATTTCGGGAGACGAGACTGACGCGACCCCTCCGGGAATAGCATCATTCATCCAACATATGTGCGCACGGCTCTGATTGACAGAGTGCACAGCTCAGGAAAGTTCAAGGCCTTGCTGCTTGAACCTGAACATGTCGTACACCAAATCTTCAAGCAAATCATGTCTGGACGTAGCGGGCAAGTATATGTCCCCAAACAGTACTCGCGTGCTGCGGGAGCACGCGGGTGGCCGCACTGGGCCCAGGAAGGCCTCCGGAATGCACAAAAAGATGTACTTTTCCACGGTTAGCCGGTTGAGCAGTACAAGGCATGTGAGGGCATGTTGAGTGAGCTCAAACTGTGCTTGGCTGTTTTTCTTATGATTCTCAACGACAGAATGACGTTCATTCACCTTTAGTGCATCACTAGTTGTGTTGGCTTTGCATCATGTGTAAATATGGATCGTAAATAATGAGGAGACTTTTCTGGTCCCAAGCGCAAACAAGAGTGAGGGTCTGGAGCGACGCCCAGGACCCACGTTCCCGACCCATTGTAGCAGTCTTGTGGTGCTTTTCGTAAGGTAGCATCGAAACCGAGCGACAAACACAGCCAAACGGCAGTTGTGTGAGTCTTTGTGAATTCCATTATTAGATCACGGTTTTCTGAGTTGCCTGCATATTTCTGGACTCAGAAACTCCCTCGGGAAATCATACTACGCCGCTAAAATAGTTGGTTTTCAATCATCGTGGGTGGAGTGCTTGAACTAGTTGAGTGTAGCGCCCAGGCCAGTACAGTAAACGGGGCCTTCAAGGCTTGAATTTGGCATCAATTTAATTTAATTACAGAATGGAGAACATCGTGAACTGTAAAGTTAAGCCTAACGTTTGTTCGAATTAGTGAAATGCTTGTGTTGTTGGCCTCCAATGACTGCCGTCCCAACCACCGGAAACCCCATATCGACACGGGCCTCAGAGAGCCATGTGTCTCCCACATTCCATCCGTTCAAACTGCGCCTTTACCAATATCATGACTTTCTCTATAGCTACGCCGCAAAAGTCGTTCGTCATCGCGACTGACGAAGGCGGTGTAGCTGCGCAATGGGCCAATAATCTTTCGACATTCCATACCCCTGATCGTCGCACCCTTCAGCTCACCTGGCCGAACTTCCACGATGAGTTCTAGACGTTTGAAAACCCGAGCTTCGATCCATGCGGTCGGTCTGAAGTTTTCAGCTGAAGAGAAAAAGGAGGCTCCAAAAATGACAGGATTTGCCGGAATCCGACGTCGACCCCGGAATCTCCCACATCACGTGTAGATCGGCCGCGCAATCAACGGCCCCCGCTGTCACATCAGAGTCGAAACATGGACGTGTGGGGTCCAAAGAGGATTGCGAATCTACAAGGCAACGTCGGAGCCAGAAACCCCCAGCTTCCCGTGATACGTCTCCTTGTTTGCACCCTTTTCGCGCTTTTTCTCCGAAGAGACTGGGTTCCCAAAACAAGCTCCCGCCGCCCCACAAGGCTTTGGCTCCCGCTTACCCGTTGGAACCAACCCGCCCTCCGTCGATAGGCTCAGCCATGCGACTGAAGCTGCAGAGCCTCTTTACGGGGTATGCCGTGAGGCTGGGGTCAAGCTAGTCTTTTTTCTGTTTCCTTTTACCTAATTCAAGCTTCGCAATCGTCCGATGGAGGCTGGGTTATCCCATCTGGTCCATGTCAAAGCTCGTTTGAGGTCGGCGGGCAATGACATGCCATCTAAACTCCGGTTGTTGCAAGATGCCTGGTGGCGATGTCGTGATGTCTCCCAGGTGCATATGTCGAACGCGTCGACATGTCTGGACTGTCGGTAGAGATCGCCCGAGAAACGTCAGCTGAATGGCAAGCCGACACGAGCTGGAGCTGGAGCTGAACGCGGAGCTGGCGATCCTCCTTTTTTTGACGGTGACAATGAGATGAGAATCCAAGTATAAAGACTCGCCTCGATCTCGGCCAGAGTTGGTTTTGTTTTCCTCATCATTCTCAACAACACCAACAGTTTTCTACTTTCCTCTACTCTTCAACATTCTCTTGTGCTGTGCACTTTTTAACATTTAAGTCTTATTCTCGAGTTTTCGATTCTTCGACGATACCCTCACTTGAACATCAACTCCTACTTGTCAACTTTTTTCAAGTCAATCTTTAGTGTCCATTCTTCAAAATGCGTTACTCCACTCTCACCGTTCTCGCCATTGCCCTTCTTACCGGCAATGCCTTGACTGCCCCTACTCCTCAGGGTGGTGCCGGCGCCATCGGAGGCGGTAACATTGGCGGAGGCAACAACAACGGAGCCAACAACGGCGGCGCCGGAGCCGGTGCCAACAACGGCCAGAACCAGAACAATGGCCAGAACCAGAACAACGGCCAGAACAACAACCAGGCTCCTCCTCCTCCCGCCAACAACAAAAATAACAACAACAACAACCAGGCCCCGCCCCCTGCCACCAACCAAAACCAGAACCAGAACCAGCAGCAGCAGCAGGGCAACAACAACGCCGCCGCGAACAACGGTGCCAACAACAACGCTGTGAACAACCAGGCTAACGGAGCCAACGGAGCCACCGGAGCTGGCCGCAACGCCGCCGGCAATGGCAACTTCCGCCGCGCTGCTCCCAACCAGCAGCCCCCTCCTCCTCCCGCCAACAACCAGACGCCTCCTCCCCCCAAGCCTAACCAGGCTCGTGCGGCTCCCAACCAGCAGCAGCAGCAGCAGCCTAACCAGCAGGCTCAGGCTCCTCCTCCTCCCGCCAACAACAACAACAACAACACTCCTCCCCCTCCCAAGCCTAACCAGGCCCGTGCTGCTCCCAACCAGCAGCCCAACCAGCAGGCTCCTCCCCCTCCTGCCAACAACCAGACTCCTCCTCCTCCCAAGCCCAACCAGGCTCGTGCTGCCCCCAAGCAGCAGCCCCCTCCTCCTCCCCCCGCCAACCAGCAGGTTCCTCCCCCTGCTGCCATCTAGGGGACAGTCTGAGCTGAGCCGTCAGCGGTTCTTTCCTTGTACCGACTCAATGGGTCTTAATGGCTGGGTTTAATGATGGACGATGGATCACAAGATCTTTGACAGACTTGTCTTCCGCTTCAGTAGCATGTAAACTTAGTCTCTAGCAGCTAGAATGATCGGCTATTTGGTAGCCTCGCAAATATCAATAATGGATTGTATGCCTCTATAGCACTACTCTCGCCTTCAACATTTTGTGAATACACCGACCTTGCTTTGTTGTCTCTGCAAAGAATGATATCCTCAACTTTTCAGTCATGCTGGAATGATGATTCCTTCACTTCACAACTGGGCAAATACAAAGAAGACTACTGAATTAATCTGACGTTACATACTAACATCCACTTTTTCTAAGATGCCATTTAAACGAGTTTGCTTGTGACTTGGGGTTACCACTGATAAGATAGCGTACACTCACGTAGCTCCCCCTTAATGAGCCATTTCCATGGCAGCAGTCTCGTTCTGCTGTTGGACCGTAGTCTTGTAAGTCTTGAATTTCCGGGCCGGAACGCCCTTTGCGAACATCTCGTCGAGTTCCGCATAAGATCGGCCTCCAGTCTCCGGCTGGAAGTACCAGAGGTAGAGCAAGGAGAAGAAGCAGAGCGCAAAGAATATGAAAGCAATCTTGGCACCCAGATTGGCCTTATCAGGGTTGAAACTTATTTCCAAGTCAGTAATCTTCCCCAGAAATTCGTTTCATGGATCCACTCACAGATACGGAATGACGAACTGCCACATGACGTTGATGGAGTTTTGGGATGCATAGCCGATAGCGACGGTCTTGACTCTCAGGCGCGACGTCGATGTTTCGGCGAGAAGAGAGAAGGCGGTCGATCCGATCGAGACGTTGTACCACCAGCTGTAGATGAGAATGAAGGCTACAGTCCCCTTGATCATGGGCTGGCTGGTGCCTGTTCCCAGACCTCCGGTGATGAGCAGAAATGCGGTGAGGATGGCGAGGCCGTAGAAGGTGAGATTTCTTCGGCCAACCTTGTCGACGACAGCAGCAGCCATCAGATTTCCGACGATTGACAGAACAGGTTGCGCAATCTGTAGCTGGTAACTCATCGAGGTCGAGTAGCCGGCAAGTTGAAGATAGTATGTAAAGTATCTAGACTTATGTGTTAGCTGAGGTTTGCAGTCAAGGGTCTGAGACAGTGCGTATCTTACCCAGCGACAAACGAGATGCCAGAGAAAGCCTGAATGATTAGGGGCATGATACTAATGATCGTGCGACGCAAGTTGGACTTCTTGAAACATTCCAGGTATGTCACACCCTGAGTTTCTTTGCGAACTTCATCAAGGGTGAGCTCGATGAGTGCGAGCTTTGCTTTACCCTCATCCCCCCTGTGTCCAAGTCTATGCAGACTCTTGAGTGCCTGCTCCTTCTTTCCTTTGGACACGAGCCACCATGGTGACCTGTGCAGAGTAAGAGTTAGCTTATTTCGGGTGCAGACCGAACTAGGCTTCGCGTCCAGCCGAACTTACTCTGGCATGAATGGCCACAAGAGGGCAGAGACTCCTGCAAAGCCGAACTGGCAGCAAAACACGGTGCGATAGGCCCATCGGGACTGGACCTGTCCAGTGTAATTGATGACAATGAAGGCGACCAGAGGGCCAATACCGTATGCTACACCGACACCGCAGGTGAAAACACCACGAAGCGCCAACGGGGTGATCTAAGTGGTAGGAGTCAGTTGGGCAGCACCGAAGAAAGGGGTCTCCGACATACCTCTCCGATATAGCTGACCATGACAGTACCGACAGCACCAACCATTACACCATTGAGAAGTTTACCAAGGAAGAAGACCACGTTCGTCGTAGCCACGAACTCGATGGCGACAGCGATGAAGGATATGATGAGAGCAAGAGCGAGGACCTTCTTACGTCCGATATAGTCGGCGAGCTCGGCGGAGGCAATTGACGAGATGACCGCACTAAGCGGGCAAGTCAGCCATCACAACATGTCAAAGAAGCCGACGAGTCAATGGACTTACGAGGCAACGGGAGCGCCATTGAATGCAGACTGCCACACGGCATGTAGAACATATTGTCCCTTGTACTCATAACCAAAGTCCTTTCGAAACTCGGGAATTCCGACAACGGAACTGGCCGCTTGGGTGTCGAAACTGAGCAGGATGATGGTCCAGCAGGCATACACACACCAAGCTGAAGCCCAAGGATAGCGGATGAAGGATTTGAGGATACCAGTCTCGTGGTCCTCGTGGTCGGCGGCGTGAGCCAACTGCGAGTCGGCGGTGACTTCAACGTGCTTGGCATGCGAGTCGACCTTTTCGGCTTCGTAGCCGTCGCCATCGTTCTGTGCAGTCATGGTGAGTGATTATCTCATGAACCAACAGCACAGAAAATAAAAATAAAAGAAAGAATGTCTTCGTCGATGCCGAGCCAACACTGAAAAGCAATTGGCCCGAGTTGAGGGTTGTCAGAGACTTTTAATACACGAATGCAAAATTGGGAAACCAAGGCATGATAATTAGACTCGGACGACATATCCGAGCGTCTGGGGGAGACAAGTCTGGGGAATTGGCGAGGGGCCCAGACGACCGGTTCGAGGGAACCGCCCCAAGCTGCCATCTACCGCCGCAGCGAAAAATGGTTCCCCCATGGGGGTGTCAAGATTTATGCGGAGGTGGGCCGCGAGCAGGGAATGACCAGGGTGCTACCAAGGCGTGACCACGTACCAACGCGGGAGTCGTAGGCACTCACCTCCGCATTCGTGGTAGGCTGCCCATGGGGTGAGGGGTTCGCGGGTGGCTCAAATTGCCCGATCGGGACAGGCCCGCGTGGTTTGAATCAGGTGCTAGTTTAGATTCCCCGTATTTTGCAGCCCCCATCCTTGGACTTACCCCTCGCCGAACATTCTTCAGAGCCTCCGACTGCCTCTTCGGACGACGAGCAGCTGGTGAACGGGAGAGTTTTGTCAGAGACGCCAAGTTTTAGAGTTTGGCCCCTTCTTAAACGGCGTGCGTGGGCTCTCATTTCGACTCGTTTGAGAAATCTCAAGAGCGGACGACGACGTAGACGACATTGAATAGCAGGTCGCCGCCCAAAACATTCGCGCCGATCACCAGACCAAAGATTCGAGTCAACTCCGAATACAAGTCCGATCGCATCCGAGCTCCCAAAATCCCACCTCCACAGACATCACCAAAAACCCATCCCAAAGATGGCCGCGTCAACAACCAAAGGGGCAGCCGCCCTCACTCAGTTCCCGTCAAAGCCGCGAGTCTTTATTTTGACAGACATCACCAACGAGCCTGACGATGCCGAGTCCTTTTGCCGTTACCTCACTTACTCCAACCAGTTCCGCACAGAAGGCGTCGTCGCCGTCACGTCGGTATGGCTCAGGAACAAGGTCGCGCCGCAAAACCTCCACGAGATTGTGAATGCGTATGAGAAGGTTGTCGATAACCTCAACGCCCATGCGCATCCGGGCTCCCCCTACCCTTCGGCACAGACAGTGAGAGACCTTATCAAGTCTGGCCCTCCGGTAAACCAACTCCTGTTCTTTGAGCCCCCTCACAATGGCTGACTGGAATCGGTCGTCAGGTCTATGGCATGGAAGCTGTCGGCGACGACATCCCCCTGAGCGAAGGCGGCGAGCTGCTCCTCGAGCGACTAACCGCGCCCGACGCCGAGCCGCTCTGGGTCCTCGTCTGGGGCGGCATCAACGTCCTCGCCCAGGTCCTGCACAAGATCCGCGACCGGCCCGACGCCGCGGCCCTGCGTCAGAAGCTGCGCGTCTACACCATCTCCGACCAGGACGACTGCGGCGCCTGGATCCGCCAGCAGTGGCCCGAGATCTTCTACATCTGCTCCGTCCACGGCTGGAACCAGTATCAGTGCGCCGCGTGGACCGGCATCTCCGCCCCCTGCGCAGGTGACCAGGGCGGGCCGGACGGCTCGAAGGTGACGCACGAATGGGTCAAGGAGAACGTCCAGATCGGCCCCCTGGGAGCGGCTTACCCCAACTTCGAGTTCATCATCGAAGGAGACACGCCGACTTTCCTTTATCTCATCCAGAATGGTCTTGGTGTTCCCGAAGAGCCCATATACGGATCCTGGGGAGGACGCTACATCCCGGCCAATGTCAGCTCCAAGGGCCTGCCCGCCAGGGGCCACTTTGCCGATGCCATCGACACCGTGATCGGCGTAGATGGCAAGCCGCACAGATCGAACCAGGCTACCATCTGGCGCTGGCGGAATACCTTCCAGGACGACTTTGCAGCGCGCATGCAGTGGACTCTCACGTCTGACTTTAGCAAAGTCAACCACCACCCCGTTCTTTCAGTCAACGGTGACTCCAGTCTGACACCAATCCATGTTGACGCAGACGCCGGCGGTGTTGTCTCGTTTGACGCATCCGAGAGTTACGATCCGGACGGCGATAAGCTGAGCTATAAGTGGTATCAGTACCGTGAGCCCAGCTCGCTGCAGACGTACCACGGCATGGAGGTCTCTGACCTTGAGATCAAGCCTCTGAACGAGGACGGAAGCAAGGTGGAAATCACCATTGCCCCGGCAGAAAAGTCGTGTTTGGTTTGGAGGGAGAAGATTCCTCTCGAGCGCGGTCTTCCTCTCCATTTGATCCTGGAGGTCCAGGACAATGGCTCGCCGCCTTTGACGAGCTATCGCAGAATCATTATCCAGCCCATCGACCGGAACTTCAGTTCAAGAAAGTAGAAAAAAGGCTGCATAGACATGGGTCCAACATAGAATAATACTTTCATCGCACAGCTGCCAGGGTTCGGATGTCGTGATTTACGAGGATGATAACGCTCATTATGGCATTCGCAGTGCTGACATCTGATTCCATTAGCTCCGCAAAGCGGCCAGTAGGAGGTAAGTCGGGACGACAGCGACTCTTATCTCATTGGTGCCGCCGGTCAAAACTTTGTTTCAATGCAAACCATTTCAACACAGTTAAGGTGCGCCCCGTTCAAACCCAGATCCGGACCAACTTTGATTCGGTACACCAATCGGCAGAGGGCCGGCTGACGCCCGGCCGGGACCTCATCCTTCGAAGCATCAACTGCCGACGGGCCCCACCCGCTCCGCAAGCCCGCCCGTCGGACTTAGGTGACGAGCCTACGTATCTCCATGTCCCGGCCCGTCCGCAAGTTATTAGACTTTCGGAGTGCGGGTTTCATCAGACCCCGCTTTATTCGTCCCATGGCCTGAATCGTGTCTTAGCGTCCAGGCGCCTCAACAAATGAAATTCTAGAAACGCGTTAGTGTAGACCCTAGACCGCCTCAAGTATTGCATCGAGAATGGTGATATAAAGCGACTCCATCGGCATTCCGGCCAGTTTCGTTTCGTTCGCGACAGACTAGACATCTCCCCAGCTGAAGATCACGACTTACAGCTCTCGCAAACATGGTCCGGTTCAACCCAAGCAGCGACATCCCTGACCTTTCAGGCAAGGTCATCATCGTCACCGGAGGCAACATCGGCCTCGGCAAGGAGACCGTCACGCAGCTCAGCAAGCACAACCCAGCACACATCTACCTCGCCGCTAGAAGCCAGTCAAAAGCGCTGGCAGCCATCGAAGACATCAAGAAGAATGTCTCCGACGCCGCGCCCATCACTTTCCTGGAACTCGACCTGACATCCTTTGAGAGTGTCAAGCGAGCCGCCAAGGAGTTCCAGTCCAAGGAACAGAAGCTCCACCTCCTCATCAACAACGCCGGCATCATGGCCTGGCCCGCCGACACCACGAAGGAAGGGTACGAGATCCAGTTCGGCACAAACCACATGGGCCACGCCCTCTTCACCAAGCTCCTCCTCCCCACGCTCTCCAAGACCGCCAAGTCGGACAGCGACAAGGACGTGCGCATCATCAACCTCTCCTCGGCCGCCGAGGGGTACCCGTCGAAAGACGTGTGGAACTTTGAGGCCCTCAAGACCGACATGGCCTCGTACAGCACCTGGGCTCGCTACGGCTGCTCGAAGCTTGCCAACGTCCACCACGCTCGCGCTCTGGCCAAGAGGTATCCGGAGATCCGCTGCATCTCGCTCCATCCCGGTGTTGTCAGCACGAACCTCGGCAGCGGGCTGTTGGCTAGCTGGCCGCTATTCAGGCCCCTGATCAACCTTGCGCTGTGGGCTGTGACGACGTCGGTTGGGGAGGGAGCCAAGAACCAGCTGTGGGCCGCGACGAGCCCGGAGGCGAAGACTGGCGTGTTTTACTGGCCTGTGGGCGTGACGGGTAAGGACTCGAAGCTTTCTTTGGATGATGACCTTGTTGAGAAGCTATGGGACTGGACGGAGAAGGAGTTGGAGCCGTACGTTTGATGTTTTGCACTTCGTCTGGTCTGTTTGATATGTAAGATGCCGTGTTAATATATATGATGCCAACTGTATGCCTTCATGTTGATGAGTTACTTTGGACTTGAACGTTCTGTTGTTGTACTCTGCCAAGCGAATTGCCGCTGACGAGTTGTTCAAATATCTATCTTGGGGTACGCATGGCTGAAGACGTTCGTTGGGTCGTACTTCATCTTAAGCTCCTTCACCCTGTTCCACTTCTCACCGTAGAGCTCCGCCGCACTCTTCTCTCCCGGCGGATTCGTGGCTGGGTAACCCCTATCCAGTACCATATCCCCGCCTAGCGACCGAAGCCTTGCAATCAGAGACTTGCTCCACGCCATGGTTTCGTCGGCGTACTCTTCCGTCGGGTATTGGTATGAACAGGAGAAGTAGGAGTGGCTCTTGTCGACGAAACAATTCGGCGGCATCGTCGCAGCATCAATGTCCACCATCCCACCCCACGCAATGTTTGGGCCCGTCGTCTTGGGCATAGCTTCGGCGCCATCAAGAATGGCTGCTGCCAGCTCGTCGCCGGCATCGCTTGTTGGGAGACAAGCGAGGAAACAATTTCTTTGTCCACCTTTCAGAGGACACGGCGGAGGCATATTATGCTGGCGGACTTTATCGGGCAACACCTCCACGGTGGACATGAGCAAAGGCGGGGCGTTGTCTTTCCAGGTCTGCAGGCACGCCTGTCCCTTCTCGATGTCGCCCGTCCAGGTCCAGATGACGCTAAAGACGACTCCTCTTTGGGGCTGCCAGCTGATGAAGTTGTGGATCGTGAGCTCCTTGGGCATAGGGAGCTTTGGGGTGGCTTCAAAGTATGCCTCCAAAGTTTTCCGGATGTCGCTGGATTCGAAGATGAGAAAGCCGCCGAGGGGCTGTTGAAGTTAGCTCGGTCAGGTCGGCGGGTCTTCTTTCAACTTACATCGTGTTTGGGGTACACCTTCACGGTCAGACTTGTAATCACCCCGAGGTGACCGCAAACACCTCTGACTCCCTCAAGCATTTCCTCGTCGGCGACAACTTCCTCGCCTTCTGCGTTCACGAGCTCCGCCCCGACGACCTGCTCGATTCCCATGCCATAGATATGGGTGCTCGTCCCGTAGCCGCCGTTCGATACCCAACCCGCATAGCCAATGATCCAAGTATGCCCCGTCGGCGTCATCAAGCCAACATCGTCCAAAGCGAGGATCAGGTCCTTCATCAGAACCCCACCCCCAATGACGACTGTCTGACGATCTTCCGCGACCTTGATGCTGTTGATGCCGCGCATGTCGATCATGAGGGTGTCATGTGCAATGCTGCGCGCCCAAAAGTCATTGCCTCCTCCGCGGATGGTGAACTTGAGATCAATCGACTTGGCCCATCGAACGAGTCGCCCTACCTCGGAGCCGTCTCGTGGAACTGCAATAGCGGCAGGACGGATGTGCTCGAATCCCTTGGCACCGTCCCGGAGCTTGCGATGCTCGGCGTATTCATCGGACCCGGGAAACAAGAGACCAACAGGCGCGACGCCGCTCTCGGTCAGCTCCTTCTGGAGGATAGCAATCATGTCGTCTGTGATGATGTTCTGGGCTGCCATGGCTGTACTAGCATTTCATTTGGGGGCGATGCGAGATTCCAAGTTCAGGTTCAGGAGGGTAGCATCAATTTCACCTTCATATGCGATTTCACTCGACCATGGCCACGGTTTTACCCGGAAAGGCCGGAGATTCAGCCATCAAAGCTTGGTATGCTGTCAGCATCCTTCGGTCTGGCGCGGGGAGAGGGCAGGCAACCTCTTTGGGGCCCTCGGATCCGGACGGTCAGCGTGGCTGCAAGCTGACCATGCAAACACGCCAAAAGCTGTCAATAGGTCCAAGCTTGTGACGAAGAAACCGCTGCCTACACGGAGTAGGTATGATGAACATGAGCAGCTCTTTACCAATGTCGTCGGTTCTGTCTATTAAGAGACGAAGTTCGGGTTGGATCCTTGATCAACCAGCTCAGCAGACGAAGCTGAAGTCGCCCTGTGTGCTTTATTCCACTTCAGTCTCTGCTTCTTTGCATCTTTACTTCCGCACAAATATTTCTATCTCCTTGTGAAGAGCTTTGATATGAGCTTCAGTCTCAGCTGCCTCAAGGTTGAATGTCATGTGCTGATTTTGCCGATTGTGGAGGGCTTGCTCGACCGTTATTATCATTGGACGATGATAATCTACCAGCACCACCGGCAGCATAGAGAAGGGCTGACCCTGAGGATTTCATGGTGAACCCGCCGTCATTCATCGTCTCTCAAACCTCTTCCGTGAGACTTTCGTAGTTTTCTTGATGACGGTGGTGATCATGGTACCATTCTTCTTACTTGTCGTCTTCGTCGCGGCTGTCTTGGTGCGGATCGTCTTCCTGGAAACCGGCAGCATCTCGTCCTTTTAATGTCGCACGGCCCTGATCTTCTCGACCTCGCTGGATTCTGATTCCTTTCCACGGCTTGAGTCGATGTCGTCGCCTCCCGTAGAGTTATTTTGTCGTCCTTCGCGCGACGGTAGATGAGCCTGAGAGTTCATCGCCTGCTGGTCAACATCTGAGCTTGCCGTTGGGTCGTACCACTCCGGGACAGCTTCGCCAGAGTCCCCACGATCCAGTCACAGTGAGTCCGCCTCCCTAATGCGTTTTCTCTCCCGCATCGGCCGCTCGTGCTCCTCCCCCGCCTCCTGATTGCCGGCACCGCCTTGCTCGCTGTGTGTCTTCTCCATCGTAAGGCGATGTGCATGCCCTTGCTCATCAGTCTCCTCCTCCTCCTTCTCCTCCCAGTTCTCACTCTCTTCACCATGCGTATGCTTCTGACGTCTACCCTCCTCTTCACGTTCGAGCGCAGCGAGTCTGGCTTTCCTGTTCGTCCTACCGATACTATGGAGTGCAGGAGGTATGCCGCTTCTTAAACCATCGAAGTATTCCCAGGATACAGGAGCTACCGTCTGTTGTCAAGTTTTCCCGCGATATCCTTTGACGAGAATTGGATCCGATGCTCGTCGTCGTCGCCCCTGGCGCGCTTCCTGCCGCTTCTCTCTTCTTGAACGGCCAATCGTATTCTTGTTTTTTGACGAAGCCATGGCACTGCGTTGTCGACTATATTTGGAGGGGACTTTTGGTTGCTGATGTTTGCCGGTGAGGTAGGTGGACGGATGCTGGCAGTGAAAATACGAGGAGGAGAAGGTGGTGTTTAGGTTGGGGAAGAAAGCGCGACTTACACGTTCAACTTTTAGTCTTCTTCTTTTTTAGCAGCAAAGAAAATCTTACGCTTGCATGTTATAGCTCTTTAGTCGAAAGATATTTATGTGTTCTTAAAATCTTTTCCTTTCCCTTGTCTCAGCTGGTTCGTGCCGCGGCGAGCTATTCTGGCCAGCTCTCAACCTCATGCGCCACTAAATATCCACCACACGCTGATTATGCGAGGAAAATCAACAAATGATTGTTATGACAAGAATAAATGCATCACATTTCTCTAATATTGAAACCCATTTTGTAATGACTAAAAAGTGTAACCCTTCTCTTGACGGAAGTGCCTGCCTTAACAGAGCGACTTCAGGTGTGAAAAAGTGCAACGCGGGAGGCGGAGCTCTTCCATCTTCTAGATTCTTTACGTCTGATAATGTGAAAAGGTGAATACCTAAGACAGGATCAGCATACTCCAAGAAAGATCAGCGCTTCCTACATCGGATCGTCGTTGCACAAAGTTAAGTTGAAACCCACAAAAACTGCAGCCAGCCTAGCCGTTGGGTGTTGGTGGTGGCTTGGACAAACCTGCATGAAATGCAAACAGGCTGTCGGGTCCGAGAACTAATCTCACACCCCATCATCTTCCATCACCATGTCGCGCAAGGAAAGCACAAGGTCTTCGCTACTTATTGATTGTATTGAGATGACCATGATAGGTCGTTGTCTTCTTCCTCTCATTCCCCAAGATAAACCACCATCTTCAAGAGTATCTACAAGAATAGGATTAAGACTCGCACATGCAAAGATTACTATTTGTGCCGCATCTGATTGGATGCCGACAATGTGCCAGTATGTGGCGCCGTGTGCCTTCCGACTCTTCATCGCTGTCCTCAGCGAATATTCCCATATGATCATGATCAGCCTTCCCGGCTGTGGTGTAAATGCCCAGTCAAATCGACAAACCGCCAACCAATGCCAGCTCTTGGCTATTTTTCTTTCCAGCCCAGCCATGATGTGACGCACTAGAGACTAATATAAAAGGTGTAGATAAAGACCGAGTGATAACTCGAGAGGCCCGTGGGGGCGGCGAATTATGAAAAGAAGTAAATGCGAAAGAATGTTTGAGGGGTATCAAGGCGCTTGCTGGAAAATCAAATATCTAAACATGACTCATAACCATCCGTACAGATCGTTGAACAACCTGCTGCTGCTGTACTGCTGGCGTGATGCTGTCTACCAGAAGTTGAACACCATCGCCAGCACGATTGCTGCTGTCGACAGGGCCCATGACGGTATTGACAACCCCGCTTTGCTGACGGCCGCTAGCAGCGTGATATTGACGTATTCGGGGCCACACATGGTGTTGACTTGGCTGGCGGCATCCTCGTACGTATACGATATAGGGAGCTTCCGATTGGACGTGTACGTCTGGTAGATTTCCATGGTCCGCCTAAGACACGAGCCGCAAGTAGGGTTGGCGCTGCCGGGGAGAGTCATGTTGAGAGGGAGGTAGTAGAAGTAGACATTCGAAGGCGTGGTCAGGTTGGTGACGGCGTTGGCGAAGCAGTACATGGAGGTGTCGGGGTCTGTGAGACAGGTGGCCTTGTATAGCATCTCATACGACTTCATGCCGAGGTAGGCTTGCATGACGATAGGGTTGCCGGCTTCATAGTCCGATCCGCAGTTGGCGGCCAGAGTCAGGTTGCTGGCCACGCCGTTCAAGTACGTGGTGCAGAAGTCGACATCCGCACTGCAGGTGGCGTCGAGCACCTTGACAATGCTCAAGAGCTTCTTCTCAGCCTCAAAAAAGGACCTCGAACCCTGTATAAGTTAGTACACGTCTTGGTCGGCAAATCGTGGAACTCACCTGAAGAAGCATAGAGAGCGGGTAGCACTTCTTAAAGTTGGAGTTGGTGAGGACTTCGTTGATGAAGCGGGGGCACGAGGCGCCGTCGTTGCTGGTGAAGTTGAAGGCCAAGCTAGTGTCGAAGGGAGATGGCAGAGGCGAAGCAGCCTCGACGGTCGCAGCGGGAACGGTAACGGAGAGAGTCAAGGTCGTCGGGTCGTCCGTTGCCTTGACTGTCTGGGTTGCAGTCGCTGTTGCGCTCTCGTCGTCACGCTTCTTGAGCTCCTCGTAAGGCATCATGGTCCAGCGGCCCTTGATCATGGTCGGAGTGCGGTCGTCGACGACGAGGGCGTCCATGGGGGCGATGACTGCGGGGGCGGTAATCTGAGCCGGGAGTTCAGAAAGAGATTCGGAGGTGGCCGAGACCATGGAGGCGATGGTGAGGAAAAGGAAAAGCCATAGTGACCGTGGCCTGCGGGGGGAGGTTGAGTGTGTAGCGAATGAAGACATGATGAGAGGTGAGGCCATCATGAGGAAGCTGCGGGACGCAGGTTGGAGATGCGGAACATAATCCTTTTGCCGGACTGTGGTGGCAAGGTTCGAGAAGAGGTGCCTCTCGCTCGATGTTGGCTGGACAGATGGTTTTGTTCGTTTCCCTGGAGAACCCCACGTTGTGATCGGCGTCGATTGTCTCTAGCCGGTGATCGACCAGATCACGCACGCGATGGTGGATATATTATGGCACCAAGGAAAAACAAGAGCACCACTCCACTGCTTGCACCAAGGCGGAGGACTTGTGCAGGCGACCTATTCGGTGCTTGTCGAGAGCCGGTGAGTTCGGACGTAGGCGGGTAAGCGAGTGATCCGCCAGATGAGTTTCCAACAACACCAATGAAGGAGTCGAATGCGAGCTGAGAGCGATGCAGTCGAAGGATTAATAGCGAATCGGTTCGGTGGCCTCTGGCGTGAACCCTCAAGTCGGCGATTCTTCCGCAAGTGGTCGATTTGAGATTATTCGGAGTGATTAAATAATTGCTCGAGCGATATCCAAATGCTCGAAGCTTTCCAGGTTGTCGACGCGCCGGTTGACCTTTTTCGGCGGAGCGAAGAAGACAGGAGTCAGACGAAGTGGGTGCGGTCTCGAGGTCGTCGACTGACAGGCGTATTGTCGTGTCGAGGCGAGCAGCTCAGTCGGCTTGGACGGTTGGCGACAGGAAGCAGGTGAGGCTCTGAAAGGGCGACGACGATCCCTGGCTCTGGCTGGGGGAGAGGAGGTGATTAAGAAGGAGAAGCAACGAGTGGATGGGTGGACGGGACGGGACACTATGGAATAGATGGGATGGGATGGGGGGAGAGCGAGCAATATTGGCTTGGCTTGGCTCGCTCGCGTGGTGGGAGGCACGGTTGGCCCTGGCTTGCTCGGTTCCTGGGATGGGATGGCACCAGGGGAACAGGGGTCCAGGGGAAGGAAGCCTTTGACTGCTGCCGCTGTTGCTACTGCAGTGCGGTATGTCTCCGTACCTTACTCAAGGAACGGT